CTTGGTAACTGCAGACAGCAAAGGTGTTTGAACAGGCCTTCGGCTTCCATATCCCATACGATGCAGTGTACGACTAATTTGCCTACAAATGTCAGGTGGTCATAATAATCTGGCCACTGTGTGTGTGTGTGTGTGTGTGTGTGTGTGTGTGTATATATATATATATATATATAGCAAATCATTATGTGTGTGTGTATAGTGACGATTACCATAAGTTTAGTTAACATCCATTACCACACAGCTACAAAATATCTTTTGTGATGAGAATTTTTAAGATCTACTCTTTTAGCAACTTTCAGATATACAATACAGCCCTGTTTAGTATAGTCAGTATGCTGTCCATTACATCCCCAGGACATATAAGTTGGGAAGTTTGTATCTTTTGACCATCTTCACCTATTCCTCCCACCTCCCCCAATCTCCTGACTCTGAGAACCACCAATCTGTTCTCTGTACCTATGAGTTTGTTTTTTTATTTTTAGGTTCCACAAGTGAGGTCATATAGTACTAGTATTTGTCTTTCTCTGTTTGAATTATTTCACGTATATATAATGCACGCAAGGTCCATCCATGTCTTAAATGGCAGGATTTTCGTTTGTATGGCTAAGTAATATTCCATTGTGTATGCATATTTTTTTATCCATCATCTGTTGATGAACACAGGTTTGCATGTCTTTGCTATTGTAAGTAATGGCTCCATGAACATACAAGTGCAGACATTTTTTCAAGATAGTGATTTTGTTTCCTCCGGATAAGTACCCAGGAGTGGAATTGCTGGATCATATGAAAACTTGTGTCACCCAAAAAACATACACATGCAAATTAGTAGCAGCTTTTCTCATAATCACCAAGGAAACAACCTGGACGTTTTCAGCTGATAAATGGATAAATAAATGTTGGGAGATACATACAATACATGTGACTTAGCAACAAAAAGGAACAAATGACTGGCACATGCAACAACATGGGTGAATCTGAAAGGCATTATGCTAAGTTGAGAGAAGCCCAATCAAGGTTACATAATGTATGATTACATTTATATGACAGTTTGGAAAATACGGAACTATGGGAAAGAAAACCGACCAGTGGTTGCCCGGGACTGTGTGAGGAGGGATCACTACACAGGTACTAGGAATACTTTGAGCTATGGAAACGGTTAGTGTCTTGATTATGGTGGACATGACGATTTTTCACAATTCATAGAACTGTATACTTGAAAGTGAATTTTACTACATGCAAATTACACCTCAATGAATCTGACATAAAAGAATAAACAGAAGGATACCTAAAAGTTAATTTGCACATACATATTTTTCTTTTATTTTTTTTTTATCCTCACCCGAGGGTATGCTTTTATTAATTGACTAAGAGAGAGAGAGAGAGACTGCCTAGTTATGTGCACTAACCAGGAATCGAACCCTCAGCCTTTTGGTCTATAGATTGATGCTC